CTCATCTTCTTAAACTTCCCATGCTCCTGTTGAGGGCTAAGGGAATGCTTATCTCCTTGAGTGCAGCCTTCATCCAACCATTCCTTCACATTGCCCTTGAAGAGTATTTAGAAGCTTCAGCCGGTGCAAAATACTTCAGTTAGTCATTCAGCATATGTGACACCTCTGCTCTGTGAGCCACATTGGTTACTGGTGTACTTCCAGATACAATTCAAGGAGCTAGTGGTTACCTTGAAAGCCCTTCACGGCTTGTGGCTTTAGACTGCCTCTCCTCAGTGTTGTCTACCCATTCTGTTAGATCCAGCAGAAGAAGCATGCAGAAGAGGTCCTGTCTGCAAGAGAGTGCCATCTGGTGGGGCCCAGGAAGAGAGTCTTTTTTCCTATAGCATCTGGCCTCTGGAACATCATTCCTTCAGGTGCAAATCAAGGTGCCAGTTATTACCTATAAAGCCCTACATGCCATGGGCCAGGATACTTGTGGAACTACCTGTCTCTGGTCATTTCTGCTCACCCACCAGAACTGGCAGAGTTGGCATGCTCTGGGTCCTCTCCATTAGGAAATGTCATCTTCTGGGACCTAGGGGCTGTGCCTTTTCTGTCACAGTGCCCACTCTATAGAAAAGCACCCTTCCCCCAAGATGAGGATGGCACCAACCATTCTAGCCTTTAGTAAGGCATTAAAGTTCTGGATTATTCCCCAGCCATTGGGGCTTGAAGATTAAACCAGCCCTGTTGGTGGGTTTGTGGTTTGGCCTGTATGGATTAATGTTAGATTTTTAGATCTGGGCATATATTATGGGTGATGATGATTTAAGGTTTCCATTGTATTCTGTGGTTTTTTATCCTCTTTCTGCCACCCAGAATCAATTTTTTGAGATGGTGGCTATATAAATTATCTAAATAAATAAATAAACAGTCTTAGTAAGACTAAAGCAGAGAAAAGAACCTGTTGCCTACATTCGAAAGAGTACTGTCATCCCAACACAGAGAAAGAAAGATGTAAAATGCAAACAAACAAGATGTAGAGGGAGAACTCAGAGAAAAAGCCTCATTTTTTTCAATTGAAAGACAGAATTCATATAGATAATCTTACAGAATAAGAAGTGTGCCTTTAGATAAATGTTTGTCAAATTAACTCTTGGCAATTTGTGCAGCCTTCTTTCAGCAGGCAGAGGGTTAGTAAATCCCTGAGTAAAAGAAAGAGTGTAAATTTAACCACTCAGGATACATGTACTGTATGTCCCCGATTTGGGATCTAGTCTGCTCTCAGGAAGGTATATGGTAGAAAAAGAATGTGAAGTAAGTTTAAAGATAACTATTGCTATATAACTCAAAATGAAGAGTTACTTATAAATAATAACATGGAGTGTTTGAAGAAAATAAAACCAAAGCAGTGAAAGCATGCAGACACAGGAACTGTTTAATCTATTGCACAGAAGGATGGGACGTAGGGATCCAGATGGTTTTACTAATTAGAGATTTTAGCAGAAGGGTTTAGAATGCAGCAGTGCCCCTGCTGTATAAAGGACCAGATCTTCACTTCTAAAGAGAAAATTCAAGGAATGTGTGGCTTGGTAAGGAACAAACCTGAAGAAAGCCCCAAATTCTACAGACAGATAATGGGGCTGAATATGTGGCAGGTACTTGAAAGAAGAACATATAGTACATCAAATCATAGTGGCTTATATCCCAGAACAGTATGGTATAGCAAAGGAAAAAAATGGCTCTGTATCAGAAATAATGAGGTACATGCTGCATAGGAAAAAAAGAAAAAAGGTCATTGGAAGAATATCTGAAGGACAGTGAAGAAGATGCACTCAAGCTAGTACACCATGAAGGCTTACTGAATACAAAAGAGACCAAACTGGCCTATA